AAAATCGTGGGGAAAGGAAAGAGGGGTAAAGAGAGGAAGGATGGGGGAAGGGAAGAGAAAGAAGAAGAAGAAGAAGAAGAAGAAGAAGCACAAGACAACATTTTTTTTAAGAGGAGCACTGTCGAAGTATAGAGAAATACACATGAACCGAACTTGTTGGCAAGAACTTACTATGTACTTTTTGTAATTGTTTTTAGTTTAAGAGAATGATATAATTGGAAAGTGAAAAGGGTAACTGGAGGATGTTGTGATGGCCGAACTTATATACTCACAGACCAGCTAAGCTGCCTTGGTGGAAAATCACATGTGGGGGACAAAGGGGTAGCTTCCTTTCCCTGTAGACTGTAGACGTAATACTACTCATACTCGTACATACTCAGTACTCATACTATGTATATCTACGTATACTGGATGGTGCTACTTCTTCTCATGACCTAGGTCCCTATCCGACAACCAAACAACCACAAACAGCATTCGCTAGGCATCCACAACCACAGCCGCAACGGATAAAACCGAGGTAATCCTCCGTCTTCTCGGGAATTTGTCATTGTCGTCATCCATAAGTTAGGTCTGGGTGAACGGATCAACCTCAATCCTTACAAGAAATTCTATAGGCCCGATCGTCTCCGTCCGGAATCTTCCCTGTTTGCTACTCCTGGAGGGCTAGGCTTCCGGCGGAGTTTGTCGGTACCTGAAATTGACTCTTAATGGAGAAGGAGTCTCCTTCTTCCGCTCTGACTAGTCAGTCATCGGAAAAAGGCGGATGGCCTCATCCGTGATTTGAGTATCCTACGGCAATTGCACGGCTATTGTTGGCCTACCGGCCGGTGACAACGGTACTCACGCCGGTCCTGCTTAGATCTGATGGCCGGAAATATGTTCCCCGCACCCAACAAACTGCAGTAGGTTTGCTATCACCACAAGTGGATAAGCAATCGCACAGCGAAAAGCAGATTGCGCTCATGGCTTGATGTGAACTTCTTTTTGACATTTTTCCTTTTTCATTTTGCGGATTATCTTATATCACATGGTTGGTGGTGTTTCTCATGGTAGCGCGATCATGCTACATTACCCAGATGCTTCCGCCATTTAGTTGACACAGCCCTAATATTATCGATGCGCCCATTTCCGGGGAGCTTCAACCTTAGGATCCCTCTTGCTACTATTGTTGCTTACTCCTGGTCCTTCTCGGCGGCCTTCTTAGCCTGAGCGCCACGAAGCTTCTGGGGAGGAGACTCCTTCTTGGGCTTCTGGGAGCGGCGGATGGCGCTCACACGAGCGACAGCAGCCTCACGGAGATCGGCACGGTAGCCCTTCTTAGCGGTCTTGTCGGCAACACCCTTGAAGATCCTGTAGAGAGCAAGTGCAACCAGTCAGCCATACATGGTGCTCTGGACAGAAAGATTTATCGGTAGATGGCGTCGACTTACTTGCGGGTGGAGGCGCTGGGGCCGTAGCTCACGGTGACGATGTTCTTCGCGGGCTGTTGGGAGTTGGACTTCTTGGTGAGGACGACAACACCGCCGTTCTCGGTAGCCTGAACACCAATGGCCTGTTGCAACATATCAGGAGGTTTATTCGCGGGTAAAGGAGGAGATAGTATGGGCTACCTTGTTGTTGGCATAGCCGGCGTACTTAAAAGCAAGACCGTATTAGCACTCGAGAAGTCAAGATGACCTTCGTCCTGGAACTCTTACCTTGAAAGAGTGCTTGTTCTGCACGTTCAAAGGGTCGCGGGAGAACTGAGAACCACCGCCGCTGTTACGCTTCACCAGGAAAGCATTCTGGTTGCCTGTTCCAAAATTCGCAGATTAGCCGGAATTCGAGGGGATGGCCAGGTCGTGCGGCGAATGGCGAGAAGCGGATCTCGAAGCCCTTCATTTGAGAATCTCTATATATTGCCCATTGCTGTGCGAGGGAATGGTGACTTACGGGTGATCTGCCAGATGAGATCGCTGGAGACGTTGGTTCTGTCGGCGGCCATTGTGAAGATAGCGTGTGAAGCTTGAGGGTATGTGTGGCAGGTCGAAGTCGTCGCAAGTCCGTTCGGTATATACTCTTGCTGCCAATACTAATAGCCCTGTGTGTGTGCCAATGCCAAGAGTGGCAACGCTGGAAAAGGCTCGCTAAGCAGGCCGCTTCAGGAATAGCCTAGCTAGCGTGTGGAGCGTGTGGGAGAGGTATACTGATGCCTGTATGCCTTGTAGACGAGGCATCAAAAGGCTTGTCTAGTGACTCAACTCCGTAATCATTGTTAAGTTAGTCTGCAGGTGCAGGCATCAGCGGTCCAAATTTGGGTTTTAACGTGCACGGTCCAGTTTGGCATCTTCCACAGCCTTCCCATCTTCTCCACACACCCGGCCAGATTACATGAGTACGCTCTTGCTGATGCCTATGTTACTCTTGATGGTGCCGCCCATGTAGTGTATCGTGGGAGTCGCCTCTGCCAGCACGAAGCAAATTCTCTCATCTACCGACAATTCAAACCCAAGAGGCTAGCCTCGTCTCCTAGTCGTGAACATCCGCAAATCTGCAACGGTTCCGATCTGAAAGCTGGCGCGGATCTTCCCGGGGTTCTACCAGCAAGACTTCAGACCATGGCTTATTATATCTTGTTCTTTCTGACCTTCACGGTTATCATTGGTGGCACCGGTAAGCGTGAGGGTTCTCTTTGAGGATTATGGCTTCCTGGTTCTGGATCGAGTCTAATATATCTGCAGCGCTCTACCTTACTCGTGCACGATGGCTACCGATTATTCCCGTGCCTGAATATATCTATCATCGCCTTCCTTCCAGTTTTGCCAATGATGCCGAAGCTGGCTTTACATCCACACAATTTGATCTTTCTGCGAACGTCGCAGATGGAGATAGTAGAGCTGGATTGGATAGTCGTGCAAAACGTGATATTAGGGAAATCATGCACCGGCGGAAAGTCAACTTTGATGAAGCTCGTCGCCTTTACACAGAGCAACGATTTGCGAAAAATAATATTGGCCCGGATGGTCGGCCAAGAGACCCCAAATTTGTTTCCTTTTCCTAACCGCGTATTATGTTACAAATTGATTTCGCTATTGTCGCTCTTATGATCTGGGCCTGTGTGCAACCATACAAGTATATTGGCAATTATCGACTCTATAAGGTCACCTTCGGAAGTCGCCGGATGCTCCTCTATCTTGCTATCTGTGGTACAGTTTGCTAAACGCGCTCCGTTCCAAAGCTTGGTACCACTGCCAATATTGTTGTCATCACTATGTACTGACACGTATTGACGCGTATTGACACGTATTGATACGTCTATTGCACCACTCTAGTATTAATATGCACCAGTATGATTCGTTGCACAGTTTGTAGAGACGGTTCTCTATGGGAGACCAACTGCCAACCGAGATTCGATTATCAGCAGGACGATGCAAGAGGGTGCTTCGAAGGCAGCACACGAGCGTCATCTGATAAAGTAGAATCAAGATGCGCACTGCGGCGAAAATCGGGTGGGTAGATTAACTTTCTTGGAGCGCGAGCTGCCTGACTAAACCAGCTGTCGTTGTCCGAATACTTCCTTGACGAGACGGCGATTGTGATACCGAGACTCAACGACCCCGCCCAAAACCTGGTTGTTGAAAGCCTGGGGGCAAAGGAGGCTGAGGCCCAGGGGTTCCCGTAGCAGGGCCGTAACCCGGCTGTGCAAAACCTGGTGGAGGTGCTGCTTGGACAGGGTAAGGTGGCTGTTGACCGGCGCCATTGTAGCCGGTGGGAAGGAAAGCTTGCGGCCCCCCGTAACCAGCTTGCGAAGGAGGCGGACGTGCTGGTAGACCCGGCGGCGGGGTGGCTAAAGATGTCGGGGGATGAATTGGTCGATTTGGCTGAGGCGGCGTATTCTGATAACCAGGATTCGGGAGCGGCACGCCCCTGCTAATACCTAGATCTGGTGGGCCAGTGCCCACAGGTCGAGAGTTGTCACCATTGGCCACGCCCGCTGATATCATAGGAGCTCCAGGTCCAGAGAATTGCGCTGGGAGCGGCTGAGTCACCGGACGCACATTGTGCTTGCGAGCCTGTGCCGCTAGCATCCGCTCTGCCTGGTCACCGTGCCGCTCGCCCTTGCCGTCCTTCTTATACGCATACTGGACTGAAACCTGTTTGTTCATCAGGTACTGGCCGTTCATGCTGGCTATGGCGGCGTCTGATGATTCGAAGTCGGCGAACGACACAAATCCATAGCCCTTCGAAAGATTATTGTCATCCCGTGCGATCTGAGTGAAACAAAGTGTCAGACAACTTGCCAGGAGCGAGAGTCATGTTCAGCGACGGGAATCCATAGAAGGAAATGATACATGCCTTTGGAAGAGTGATCAAGTTCCCGAAACGGCTGAATGTATCATAGAGAACCTGCTCTGTCACCATTGGGTCGAGGTTGCCGACGAACAGCTCTGCACCGATTTCCACGGCCTTCTGCTTGTCGGCAGAGGCCTTGTTCACGCGTATGGGCTTTCCGTACAGGCGAATACCATTCATAATCCGCGATGCATACTCGGCATCCTCTTCACTGATTAATTCCACAAATCCATAGCCCTGGTGTGACTGCGTGACTCGATCTTTGGGCAGATGAACGTTAACGATGCGCCCGGCTTGAAGCATTAGCTCCCATACCAGGCTATCCGTGACACGTTCATCGAGGTTCCCAATGTAGACGGTAGCCTCTTTGTCTTGCTCCCTATGTAGTCAATGAGTGAGTTTGAGAACGTTGGCCTGCAATAGAAGCGTGCAGCACCTACCAATGTCTTGCGCCGGACATCGCGCGTGGCAAGAAGCTGTTGGAGCCCCTTCACTGATTACAGCTGACTGGCAGGTGAAAGGAGGAGATGAAGCATAAGTCGTGGGTCAGAACGCGTGCCTACAGTTGATATCAAATACAGATAGCGTGTAAGACTCGGACACCGAAGCGAAAGGGAAGCGGAGAAGCGTAAGTTGCGGAGGAGGGATCGATCCGTCGTTGGAGACAGAAAGCGCTCGTCGGCGGAGCGGTACGTTTTTGTTAGCCCCGGAAAACTTTGAGCTTCACCTTCTCCCCGTCCTCCGTCATCACTCCCACCAAAACAACATACCGGTAGCCACCGCCTTTTGTTCTGCTTTCTGGCTTTTTTACCTCGACCCTTGACCTATCCTTGCCCTTGGCATCTGCTTGACTCAGAATCTTGCCTTTGATCTAGGAAGCTATTACCGCTCAACATGGTCCAATTCTCCGAAGAAACCAAGGTGAGTGCCTGTGTTTTAGTGAGTAGCCTGCGCATATACCATCGGCTTACAGTTGTCTGTGTTTCCTAGGAGCGTATCTCCAAGGTCATTGACGTCTCCAGAGTTGCTATTCACTAGTGAGTTACTCCTCAACCCCTCTCCCCTTTCAAGGTGGCCGCAGCTGACGGTTGTCTTTGTACTAGCGGATATCTTCCTCTGATCATCTACCTCGGTATGATTCTACGGGAATGAGCCCAATTCGTTTTGGGAGCAATGAAAACAGCCCCAATACTGATTTTTCCTTGACAGGCTACACTTATAGCGAGCCTAGACCTTCGCTTTTCAAGTATGAACGAACCTTGATACCAGTTTTCCTCCGATCGGTACACCCCAGCTAACACCATGGCACATAGGCTGTTCTCGCCGCTTGCATAGAGTTGTGGAAGACCTAGCCGCATTGCATACGAGGGCTGGTCCAAGAAATATGGCATCTGAGATTCTCATTCCTCAATTTGTGGCAGGTATGAGATTGGGTTGAACCGGACCTTCTGCACGGAGCCTCGGCCTTTCGCATTCTCGCCAGTAAGGAAATACGAAACTGGATGTGCAGGAGTTTAACAAAGACGGAGGGGTATTTCTAATACTGTGTTGGGATATGTCAATTCTCATTTTTGGTTTTGGTTTGGTTCTTGCGAATGACTTAATGTGACTCCTTTTCTCACCTCTTCTTTCTTATTTTCTCCCGTTTTGGGGTATCATGCATGAAAGTGACGCAATGTAACTGCTTCGAACTATACAAGAGCGCCGGAGGGGTATCGCAATCAATCCTCCCGCACAGTAGATGAAAAGTTCACCATTACTTTGTTGTGTTAGCGATAATAGCCGGAGAATCTCACCAGACTGGATACCGCGGCCTCGGCCCGCCAAGCTTAAACCATGCAGGCAAAGTCAAAGCCCAGGCCCGGGCGATTCCGTAGTCGCTTTACACCAATCCAACTCACACCCCGCACTCAAAGACGAAAGATTACATATATCTCATTTCCTCAAGACCATCAGCCCGGAACCTTTTTGGTGAGGTCGAAGAGTTCATGACTGGCAACGATGGCCTATCGTCATCCTTTGTGGAGACCGTAGCAGGGTTGACGGCGGGAATTGTTTCAACGCTTTGCCTGCATCCGCTGGATCTGATCAAGACTCGACTTCAGGGTGCGCCTCTTTGTTTCCTCGGAATGAATAAATGAACTGCGGCCTCCGCAACTCTTCACTTGATGATCTCATTACTGAATCGCATTGCAGTTGACCCGTCTTTAAGCTCTCGCAGCCATGAATCACTCCGACTTGTCCAAGGCATCTTTCGGCATGAAGGTGGCCTGGCTGCATTCTATCGAGGCCTGACGCCTAATCTCCTTGGAAACTCGACTAGTTGGGCCCTATACTTCTTGTGCTACGGTAATATCAAAGAATTGATGCGAACCTGGAGTGGAGGTACTTTAGGAGAGGGTTTGAGCTCGGCCGACTATTTTCTAGCCTCGGGATCCGCCGGTAAGTCTTCTCTAGATCTAGACAGAGCGTCAGTGGGAGATTCCGGCGGTTTCGCTAATCGTCACAAAAAATGAACCCGGTCTTTAGGTATGCTGACATCCGTCTTAACGAATCCTATCTGGGTTATCAAAACCCGCATGTTGTCAACCGGCTCTCGGGTACCGGGAGCCTATGCCTCCCTCGTCGTGGGCGCGAGACAGATCTTCCGCGCAGAGGGCTTATCCGGCTTTTATAGGGGCTTAGTCCCGGCGATGCTCGGAGTCAGCCATGGTGCGCTGCAATTCATGGCTTATGAACAACTGAAGCTGTACCGCACTCGCATGGCGGCCGGCGACGCCCAAGGCGGTACCGATGGTCCAAGCTCGTGGCGGCCAGAGTCACCAGAGCTGGGGAACGTGGACTACTTCGTCCTGTCCAGCCTCTCGAAGCTTTTTGCTGGGTGCGTAACATACCCATACCAGGTATTGCGGTCCCGGTTGCAGACCTACGACGCGCATATCATTTACATGGGCGTTCGCGATGCGGTAATGAAAATCTGGGTCAGAGAGGGAATCAAGGGCTTCTACAAAGGTTTAATGCCAAGTCTGCTGCGGGTACTACCCAACACATGGGTCACGTTCCTTGTATATGAGAATACTCGGGCATATTTGCCGCGGCTGGTTCTTAAGGGGTAGTTGAAGGCATTAGCTAAGTCTCGCATCCATCCGGAAAGACAGCCCACCGTGCCTCTTCTTGAACCCAATTGCAACGTCCGTAAAACTGATTAAAGGGGCAACGTTCCCTACTCGTTCATCTAATCACTAGCAGGATGACAGAGGCAGAGCAAGTCGAAGATCTATCTGGAGATCAGAATCTGCTTATACGAATGGATGCTGTACATGTATTACATCTGACCCTGGACATGTTCTTCCCCTCAATTACTTCATCCCTCCCAATGCAGTGTTCCTTTCGTGTGTTGAAAATGAAAGCAAAATGTGAACAGTAATTGAATCTGGTATCAGCATAATCTCAAAGCGAAGGAAAGTTATAGAAACAGAAGAAATTCCCCCAAGAAATAGGTCAGTGTCCTTGCCTGTCAAGGAAGTAAGGTCCAACGTCCTCTTCGTCGCTACTGGAAGCTCCGTTATAGGTCGACGTATCTCCATAACTTGGGCGCCGCCCCTTTCCGTCACTGTTAGTAAGAGACTGCAGCCTTCTGCGGGTGTCGGGGCTGGTTTCGGATCTCGCAATCGGAGATATCCTGCGATCTTTTCCGCGGCCTTTGATGCCCTTGTTACTATTCTTGTACAAGGTAGCAAAGTATTCCCAGAGCTTCTGGTCTTGTGAGCTCATGTTATCTGCATCAGTCATCTGAGAGAACTTCAGAGTCAGATGTTTCAGGGTTGCTGCATGGAATTTGTTCTGATGTGACTACCACTTTAGTCAGCCCAGATGAGTTCTACGAGCAGCAAGGTGAATCATGGAAGGGCACACCTTTAGGTTACCCAACTGTGTAAATTGTTTACCACAGTCGTCCAGAAGGCAAGTGAAAGGCTTTGCATGTTGGTGGGTGATCTTGTGTGCGCGAACATTGCCACGCTGGGCAAATCGTTTATGGCATATCTCACAGGAAAATGGCTTCTCTCCTGTATGGCGTCGCTGGTGGGTCTAAAGCCACCGACAGAACTAATTAGACATTGCATGAATGGGCGAGCAGCATCAAGGCATAGGCGCGGCTTACCTTCAGGTTTCCAAGTTGAGAGAAGCGCTGGCCACACAGGGGCTCTTTGCATACCTTACAGATCAGTTGTCAGTGCCTATTCCATTGGTTTGATAGGATGTTGTTTCGCTCACAAAGGGCTTGTCTCCTGTGTGGGCCCTCATGTGGATGTCCAAATGTGTCTTCTGCGCAAAACTCTTGCCGCAATGTGGAAGGGTGCAAGCATACTTGCGCTTCTTTCCTGAGCGCAGTGGCTGATCTTCAACAATCACAGTACAGCGCGGGTTCGTGGCTGCTGAAATCGAATATTGAGGGGCGAAGGTACTTGGATTCACTCCATGCGTCATTTGCTGAAGTGGCGGGAGTGACTGCACGTTTGCCGACTGAGTGCTGGCCTTTGATTGTATCGTTTTCATAAGGATGTCTACTTCGGTTGAGAATTCGATTTCATTCGGGCATGGACTTCTCCCCTGTGCTGGTCCTCCAGACGTCGGATGCTGTCCCAATGGCTGCTGAACGCTCGACTTGTGGTCAATACTGGCCGAGGCATCTTTCGTCATCCGACTGACCGCGTTCTTGGCCGGTCGAATCTCTGGAATTGGCTGGATAGAGGGCGGCTCCGATGAGAGGCGTACCGGCTGGGAGTTCAAGGGTTGCTGACCCGCTACGAAGTAATGCTGGTAGCTAGTCTGGTGGTGGTGATGCTGGTGTGGATGATGATGATGGTGCTGATTCATGGGATGTCCGAAGCCATAGCTCGCTGACGAATGTTGATGAAAAGAAAGAGGGAATGAAGCAGTCGGGCTGGTGTAAAATGGTAGAGTATGGCCTAGGCTGGTGTTCATCATCCGACGGGGTGCAACGGCGCCGATAGCATGGCCTGGGAATTCGTAGGATACAGGTTCCGCTGCCTCCATATCGGTAAGCGCTTCAAATCGAAGTCAAGGTTTGGAGGCTATTGCCCTGGGCTCTCAGAGCCTCGTTTTGAATCTTGTCTGCTTTCGAAGCTTCTTCCGGGAGACAAAAAGCCGAGAATAAGACCGACGCCGGTGGCTGGGCTATCTCTGCAATCCTTTAGCTATGGTCTTGTCTGAATTTTGTGGATGGAGCACAGGAAGAGGCAAAGATGATCTTGGGGTTGGTTGGGGAGGGGGGTGTATTATAGCTGGGCGAGGGAAATAGCCTTCCCTTCCGCTGTAGGCAGTGAGGATTGAGACTACCTTGCTATATTTCACGGCCAACAGCTTATTTCGAATGAGGGCAAAAATAGCAAAGACCGCAAGCCGGTGGATGTGAATCCTGATTGATTGCACAGGCTGGATTCAAGGTGCAGACATCGGGCGAGAGAGGAGTCCTTGAGAAACACCCCAAACGGGATATGTCCTTCTGTAGATCCTGGACTCGGCTTGTCTATATGGGCTCTCGCAAGAGACAAGGAAGCGAGAAAAGTAGTCGAATGTCCAATAGTCGTTGGTAGCTGTCAGCCAGTGGAGTCACCCCAATGGCATCAGTGCCGGCCGTGGGACCCGCTAATCAATGAGTATGAGTTATTCACCAAGAGATGTTGCTTCATACTCCGGGGGGGGGGGGAAGATTATCTTCAGGCGTTTGACAAAAAGAATAGGTGACTGTGCAGCGAGCCAGAAAACGGCTGGGTCAAGATTGATACCTCTTCGGAACCTTACCTAGAGAATTAATTTTTTTTCCTTCACTTTTGGCCTTGAGATTTGTTTTGGCGAAGCTTATTGAAAACACTTTCACTCTCACTCTCACTCTCTTTCTCTCTTTCTCGGTCTTTTCTTTCGCCTGTTTTGACAGCTGAGAACAGCTGGAGAGATGGCGATCTAGAACTAGATATACAAGTCAATCCCGCCCACCCCCCTTCTTAGTGTCCCAGAGAAGTGGAAGCAGCGGGGTGGGAAATCGACAGGGATCTAGCCTGTTGATTGGTACCTGGTCTAGGTAGCTGAATGGAGGGCATGGTCGGAGTCGAAGAAAGATTGATAGGTATATCCATCCGTACACATCATGTATGGATGTATGAATGCTGCATGTATGTATGGATGTATGGATGTATGGATGTATGGATGTATGGATGTATGGATGTATGGATGTATGGATGTAAGTCGTATGGATGGATGCATGGATGCATGTCAGTCAGAAAATACATTATTGCCTAGGTAGGTAAGAGGTAAAATCGAGAGAGAGAAAGGCTCACTCAGGGGGGGGGAGAGGATGGGGGCGAGAATGGCGGGTGTTGGAAATAATGGAGAAAATACAAATAAAGCTAATTATGGTAACCAAATGGTAAATAATAGAAGAAAAAGAGAAGAGACGAGCAGGAACAAGAAACAGAAGACGATCAAGAAGAACCAAGAACAAGACAAAGATCCTGATTGA